GAGGGCCTTAGTCATGGTGGGTTTTGGTCTTCACACTTGCCCACCCCGAGGAATGTTCTAAACAGGAGGTCACCAACCTGCCCACCCCAAGGAATGTTCTAAACAAGCGACCACCCAGACCGAGGGCCTTAGTCGTGGTGGGTTTTGGTCTTCACACTTGCCCACCCCGAGGACTGTTCTAAACAGGAGGTCTTCGACCAACCTTTCCACCCCAAGGAATGTTCTAAACAAGCGACCACCCAGCCCGAGGGCCTTAGTCATGTTGGGTTTTGGTCTTCACACTTTCCCACCCCGAGGAATGTTCTAAACAGGAGGTCTTCGACCAACCTGCCCACCCCAAGGAATGTTCTAAACAAGCGACCACCCAGCCCGAGTGATATAGCCATACTATCGTATAATGGTGTACACTATCAAGGGTTCCAGAATTACCGAGTCAACTTAGCCAAAGCCGACTCTCTCATCATATTCCCTATAATATCTCCAATTAGGGGTCCAAATACCCTTCGGTCGACTCCTACATGTCGACTAGTATAAGTCGATTTCCTGCGAGGTGACGGTCAAAAGCATATCAGGATCCGTTAGCGATTGAGTATGACCCAGTCGACTCGAGTCGATTGGATCAAGTCGACTGAAGAGGTCTGGAAGCCCATAAATCTCGACAGCTCTAATACACTTCAGAATATCGAAGGGAAGTTAAGGATAAGGAAGGATCTAGAAGCTGACTAGAAAATGGACGGAATGTGAACCGACCGGGGTAGTTTGGACATTTCTAGTAAGTCGGCCGGGGTATTTTGGGGACTTCAGGTAAATGTTCCATTTCTATATATAAAGGAGCTGAGGTAACTCCAAAACCCTAACCCCCATTCATTCCACATTCTCCTCCATTGATGCTGCTTCCTCAGAGCAGCCCTTTCACTCTTTTCACATACTGACTTGAGCGTCAGAGGCTCTACGCCGGAAATCCCTCCGGCGTTGAGTTCTTGCAGGTGTTCTCACGGTTCGATAGCAATTCGGAGACCATCAAGACAGATCTGAGCTCGTTCTCATCGGTTCATTCCAGATCCGGGTGATTTTCCACTAGTTCACCCCAGATCTGAGGATAGACCCATCATTTGGCGCCGTCTGTGGGGAGTTCTTGAAGGAATTAAGAGCTTTACACCTAGTTTGGATCTGTTTCCGATGGCTGAGAAGGAAGGATTGCAGAAAAACTTGAACGAAGATTTCAGGGCAGCTTGGACTGACAAGCGACCTCCGCCGATTCCCAACCCCAAACCACCGCTCCAAGTGTTCGGTTTCCCGCCGTTTGGGTCACACGCGCTGTCAGGAAGGCGTATGGAGGAAGAGACGCCTATTACCCCACCCGGAGTCAAGATCCCACTTCTCACCCAAGGGGAGGCCAGTCACGTGAAGGACACGAGCGGAGAAGCGGGTGGTCACGCATCGACCGAAACGTCTTTGAGATTGGGGAGGCAGCCTGGGCGACTTGATCAGGAGCCAAGGCCACCACCCCAAATCGAGGAACAAACATTGACCATGACAAGAAGCGAGATGCAGAGGATGATTGTCGAAGCTGTAGCAGCCCAAATCAAACAGACTCGAGTCGAGGAGCCTAGGGTCGAACAGCTTAGGGTCGAACAGCTTAGGATCGAACAAGCTAGGGTCGAACAGCCCCAAACTGAACAACAACCCCCTGAACGCAAACAGCAGGAGTAGTCACATGAAAGGCAGAACAAGAGGGCAGATGAAGAGGAATCCTCTGTCAGGACTGTCAATCCACAAGCGAGAAATGATACCCTGGAGCAGTTGTTAGCGCAGGTGCGAGATTTGCAGGCTCGAGTCGAGAGGAGAAAATCAGGAAGCTCGAGGGGACATCCTTTTTCACAACACATTCTGGATGCTGACTTACCTCAGGGGTTTAGAGAACTTAACATCTAGTACGACGGGTCGACTGACCCCTCTCGACATTTGAGGAGTTTTGAAAACATGGCGGTGTTGCACCGCTACAATGACCCCGTTTAATGTCGAGCGTTCCTAACGACCCTGCGAGGACCAACGTAGGATTGGTTCCATCAATTGCCCCCAGGAGCTGTCAGAGACTTTGATGGATTTAGCTCAAGTTTTCTAAACCAATTCGCGAGTGTAAAACCCCAAGAAAAGTCTTACCTTACTTTGATAGGTATGCAACAGAAAGAAGGGGAATCATTGTGGGACTTTGTGGCGAGGTACACACGGGCGTGTGTCGACGTCCCCTCGGCCACTGAGGAAATCAAGTCGGGAGGACTCACTCGAGGGCTACTCCCGGGACTGTGTAGAAATTCCCTAGCAAAGCGACCCGGAAGGACGTTTGACGAGGTATTGGGAAGGTGCGCCAAATACATGAATGTCGAGGAAGCCGAAGCCGACTTTTTACAAGCAGCTAAAGCAAAAACTGAGTCTCGGGACGAGAAGAAGGATAGAAAACCGGTCTCGACAGTTGAAAGGAAGGGATCCCCGAAGTCAGAGAGAGAAGGCCGATCGAGGGGATGGAGGGCGACCCAATATACTCCTCTGTTAGCCTCGAATGCAAGGATATTGGAAGTGATGGAGAAAGAGATCCGCGAAAATATTGTCAGGTGGCCACGAACAAGAAAGGATGGGCCGACAAAACCTAAAAGCAATCTGTATTGTCGATTTCATAAAGACTACGGCCATAACACCGATGAATGTCGGCACCTAAAAAATGAGATTGAGAGATTAATCAAAGCAGGCCATCTGAAGGAATTCATTTATAAGGATCGAGAGCGAACCAGTCGAAGAAGGGAGAGAAGCAAAAGCCCTCACAAGAGAGCGAGGACACCCGACAAGGAGGAGCTCCCTCAGAAAAGAGGGGTAATACATATGATATTCGGAGGGCCGACTGATGGAGATTCAAATCGGACCAGAAAGGCATATGCTCGAGGGCACCACGGAAAAATTGAAGTGCAGCAAGTCGAAGAAAACGGTCCAGTGATGAATTTTGGACCAGCAGACATGGGAGAAGTCGAGAGGCCTCACAACGATGCCCTAATGATGACAGCTCAGATATCGGGCTATGAAGTGCAAAGGATCTTTGTCGACACAGGAAGCTCAGTAAATGTGATCTTTTACAATTGTCTTAAGCGGATGGAACTCGACATCGAGCTTGCACCCCTGCACACCTCGCTCTTCGGATTCAATGGCTCGGAGGTCGCACCCCTGGGAAAAACCACGCTCGCTGTCGTCCTCGGGGAAGGCGACTTAAGGAAGGTAAAAATGGTGTAATTTGTGGTGGTCGACGTCGAGTCGGCCTATAATGTGATTTTGGGAAGACCCGCACTCAACACATTCCAAGCAGTAGTGTCAACCTACCACATGAAGCTAAAGTTCCCCGTGGGAGATAAGGTAGGGGAGGCTCGAGGAGACCAGAGATTGTCAAGAACCTGTTATCAGATAGCAGTAAGAACAAATCAACGGACGGAGGTAAAACAAGGAAAAAAGCCGATGTCAAGCGAAAAAAGGCAAAGGGAGAGTGACCTAGAGCCACATGGAGAATTAATGGAAATCCAAATCGGGGAAAAAGTAGCAGACCACTAAAGTAGGGAGAGAGTTGGAAGATGAGTTGCGTCAACAGTTAGTGGGACTGTTGAAAGAGCAGGGACATTTTTGCTTTTTCCCCTGAAGAGCTAACCGGAATCGACCCCGATGTCATGGAGCATAAGCTTAATGTCGACCCCCTGAAAAAGCCCGTGAAGCAACGGCTTAGGCACCATGGCGTAGAGATCGACAAAGCCATAGAAGTCGAGGTGGATAAGTTGTTGAAAGCCAAACATGTCAAAGAAATTCAATTCCCAGAATGGATATCAAACACAGTGATGGTGAGGAAAGCGCTAAATAAGTGGCGTATGTGTATTGATTTTCGCGATTTAAATTTAGCCTGCCCAAAGGACCACTACCCCCTGCCGAGGATCGACCAGCTGGTCGACTCCACAGCTGGTTGTCAATTGCTAAGTATGATGGACGCGTCCCAGGGATACCACCAAATTCCCTTGGCTCCTGAAGATCAAAGCAAAGTTAGTTTCGTGACGAGCAAAGGGACATATTGTTATGTCGTTATGCCTTTCGGACTTAAGAACGCAGGGGCAACATACCAAAGGTTGACGGATCGAATGTTCAAATCGCAAATCGGGCGAAATATGGAAGTTTACGTGGACGATATCTTGGTGAAAAGTAGGTCCTCGATCTCGCATGTAGATGACTTGAGGGAAACGTTTACGACACTAATAACATTTGGAATGAAGCTAAACCCGAGTAAATGTGCCTTTGGAGTGAGGGCAGGATGATTCCTGGGTTATATCGTTACTGAAAGAGGCATCGAAGTGAATAAGGAGAAAGTGCAGGCCATACTCGACATGGCCCCGCCAAAGAATGTTAGAGAAGTGCAAGTCCTGACAGGTCGAATTGCAGGCCTGAGTCGATTCATAGCTCGGGCGGCGGAAAGAAGTTTCCCATTCTTCAAGTTACTGAAGAAAAAAGCTTTTCAGTGGAGTGACGAGGCTCAGATGGCGTTTGAAAAGTTGAAAGAGTTTTTGAGCGAACTACCGTTGTTAACAAAGCCGGAGCTGGGTGACGAATTGGTGCTCTATATCTCGGTGGGAATCTTTTCTTTCAGTTCTGTATTACTGCGAGAAGCTGGAGGGGCCCAACAACCGATCTATTATACTAGTCGAGTACTTCAAGGCGCAGAAGCGAGATATTCAAAAGTCGAGAAGGCCGCATTAACATTGGTTCTCACAGCCAGAAAATTGAGACCGTATTTCCTGAACCATGTGATAATAGTAAGGATGAATTTCCAGCTCGGAGAGACCGTGGGTCGACCTACCGTGTCAGGTCGACTCGTAAAATGGGAGGTCGAACTTAGCGAATTTTCCATCAGATACGAACCTCGAAGAGCTATAAAGGCCCAAGCTCTAGCCGACTTTATCCAGGAAGGGACTAAAGGGGCAAGCAAGAAATGGATAATGCATGTCGATGGGTCCTCGTCAGC